TTTGCTTAAGAGGGCAGCGTGCCACAGCTGATCGAACGCTTTCGTGATGTCAAGAGCAACGACATGAGCCTCACCATAAGACTGGATGAGTTTACTCTGCAATTGCGTGACGTAAACTACCAGGTCCCCTGTGGATCGTTGGTGCCGGACACCATAATGCCTGTCGCTAATCAAGCTGTGACGTTCGAGGAAGCAGAGCTATAGACCTATAGTTGTAAGGGTCGGTCTTAGATCCTTTTTTTGGGATGGGTTGGACATGAGCAAATCTCCAGTTTTCTGGGAAGGTCCGGATTCATAAGATATCTGGAAGAGACGCGAAAGAACTGGAGCAAGCTCTTCAGTACAATGGCAGGAACCAAGTCCGGAAGCTTTGTTGATGTCGAGAGACAAGAGCACTCGTCTTGCGGTCTTATGCCTGAATGTTACCTCCCGCATAGTGTAGGGAACCCTTTGAATTGACGGCACTTGGGCGTTGGGGGGAACGTCCATGGTGGAATTGGCAGCAAAGATCTTGGCTAGCACTTCGCCTTGGCCTTTGAGCGAATACAATAGTTCCATCCTGACACACAAGTGGTGGAAGGCTACTGTGTGAGAAGTCTTTTCAATCTGCGTGGCCAGCATCCAGAAAGACCGACCTGCTAACTTTTTATATCGTGCTGGCATTGCGAACCGCTTCGTTATATTTGTTCTTCTGCTGGAGAGCAGTGTCACACGATTTGTTTAAACCAGCCGTTTGAACCCTGGTTTTAGGCACTTTTCACTGTGTGAGGATGTATGCCTCCATTCCGACGTGGATAATTCTGTTATTAAAGAACAGACAGCCGTGATGTTTTGGAGTTGAGGCGAAAGCCACAGAATGTCCTTCCTGTCTGATTCCAAAGAAACCTCTGGAGCAGGAAAGACTGCTGCGGACAAAAGCCACAACTCCCCCGTTCTTTCTCAGATTGGAGTGCACCTCGTAGTTTGGGAAGTTGACATCGTTAATCGGTGCAGGACTCTGAAATTTTTGTCTCCGCCAAGAAAAAACACGGCGGGACGATTGGATTGTAGGTAGTGATCAACAGCATCAATGTTGTTGTTAATTCCGCAGATGTTCGAAAAACAAATTTTATCTTCGATGTTGTTCCCTCGAGCTTAATCTCCCCCGGGCATTCCGAGAGGGATATAGAAAAGTTCCAAAAAGACGTGGTTGCTTGTATTTATTCAAAAATAGCAATTTGCATTCAACAACAATCTGTTTTTGACGTCATTTTGCTACATACATGTAATAGATTCATGATACAAGTGTGATAAGATTTGGTATCAAATCACAAAATCTGTCCAAAATGTGCCGAGACTAGATGATTTTATACACATGCCTCAAGTGTAGTTATATGCGTTGTGAAACGGGATTATTTAAAATTAACTTGTAAGCACGGAAATTTACTTGTAACTCATACGCCTGTGTTACAGACCTAGATCGTCATATAGAATTTGTTTTTGGAGGGCTAAAAAATAATATATTTTTACGAAGTCCATCGGGTTTGAACTTTGCATAGCAGCCCCCTGTCGTACCGTAAGTTGGATTGTGCAGTTGTAGGGCTAACCAAGTTTAGCAACAACAAACTTCAAAATTGATAACAATAACAGAATTAAAACATATTATGTTGTTGATTCGGCGAGACAATTGGGTACTATGAACATAAAAACCACAGTGTATATGTCAGGAGTTACATTATTCAAAATGAATTATCTGGATTAGTTTAGAATTTCCGAATCATAGTTAATAAAATGCCAAATACACTGTCGTTGTTCCTCCTCTTACCAGACTTAAGACAGACCTAAAAGACTAGCAAAGAATCACGGTCTTCCTCCAAACTCCAGACAATGACCAATAGAAACATAGAAGAATTATTTTGATCACGTAAATTTGAGAATTTCATAAAGAAGATGTATGGAAGATGTAGCCTGGATAGGATGCTGCACGTAAGGGTCGGCAGTACCGCGATTGACAAAACTTCTTATAAATGGTGTGTCACCTTCGTTTTACTGATTATGATGTTCCCACTGCGAAAACCCGTGTCACCCATTCCCTGCGGTCTGTCTTTTGATGTTCTTGAATCCCGCATTATCTCAGATTGATGCAATTCGAAAAGCCTTGTTCATAATCTGGCTATGCAGTCTATCTACGGTTACGGAAAGTAGTATCACTTTTTGCACACGGTGCTAGGGATGACACTAATGGACTAAGCCTAGATGCTAGCAATAGTTCAAATCACTATGTATCTCGGATTACTTGGAATATCCTAAATCATGATAAAAAATGGCGTCAAGTAGGTTGACTCTACACGCAACGCCGTTATCAGTTCATAAAGGATTACGTTCAACACAAACTAGACCTTTAAAGAAGAAAGTCGGTCAAACAGGTCCATACAATAAGTCTCCCCGGTCAGACGTGGCAGCACGGTCACATCACAGTAAACACTATGCTGTGGCGCGGCAGTACTACGTGTAATACCAGAACACTTACCAAGGCCGGCGGCACGCTGCCAGGCGCAAAGACAGACACGGCCAGTAGGTACGCGATCCGTCTGCTGAGATTATTTAGGGGCTAATCTATGAAGAAATCTATGACTTGTGAAGTATGTTTAACAGGTGCGTAGAATTATACCCTCCCCACCCCCAAATTTTGTACTACAAAAAATTTCTCCAAAAATGATGGGTATTCTCTATAACGTCTAAATACAGAGTACGATCAATTTGAATTTTTTTATAATCATATAATTTAATAATAATTTTTGGCAAAAATACAGATTGCTATTATTGTTGCCAGTACAGGAGCAACAATGACAAAGCACTGCCACGAAAGAGAAACCTTGTGTGTGGCAATAATCTAATTCTTTGTAATTTGCGCGATATTTTTGTTTGGAATTTTTATTTATGTAGATACACTTGATTTGCCTAAGAACACCGCCATAAGGTAGCGGAGTTTCAATGTAGATTTCGTGGCCACATCACAAAATTGTCCATTTCATGAAATGATCAACTAAATTTGACCATATCGTTAAATTGTCAGGTTTAATGATTTGGACATCCACGATTGATCATATCGTATAATAGGGTGTCTATAGAATGCTTGAAAACTGGTTTATTGTTCAACAAACATTTTTATTAAGACTTGCAACTTTAGCATAAAATAATTTTATTAAAGCTTTCTCAAATTACGAGTTTTGTATACGTAGAATTATTTACGATCAGCATTTACTGTCATCCGTCAGTATGTTTCATGTAATGCGATATTGTCCGCGTAGCCATAACATCAGTAGTTATTGTTGTATAAGGTTTTACGTAAAAATCCCCTGACACTGATGGAATCATTAGTAAATACTGATGGCAGGGACCACAGTAAAAACTGATTGTATGACATACGCCATAAGTGGATAACAATAGCTCACAAGTAATTAGAGGGGTACTAAAAGTAGGGTCACGTTTTGGTTACTACTGGGAAGAAAGATAAAACAATCAATGTAGAAAATATAAACATTTTATTATACGATTTGAATATTCATAATACATAAATAAAGGTTTATTACTAAACTAAAATATATTAACGCACAAAACCACTGAATCATAACAACTAAATAATTACACAAGAGAATAAAATACACATTATGCTGTCAAGGAATAACCATAAAAATTTCGCTGTGAATATTTTTGTGTATCCAACATCTAATATAATGAACTGATCATTATCCAATCAGACATAAACAAAATTCAAAATTACAAAAAATTGTAAATACATTTTCCTCTGCGAGTTTCTGGTATACAAGTATAAAGCTAAAAACGTGTAAAACTTATTTAGTACGAGTTGATTTCTCATAAAGTTGCTGCTGGCATAAAACTTCCAGCTTTTTAAAATTCAATGAAGTGTTTGGTAACCACAAGTTGTATTCACAAGTATGACATAAAGAATCCACACCATATCTATAAAATGATGCTATGACCTAACAATTCCAACATGAGACATTTTAGATAGATATTTAGTTTTACTGCTATGTATAAAACGTTTATAAAATTTTCACTTAACGTGTAATTTCATCACATAAACGACTTAAAAATATTCTTCATATAGTTTACTGTTGCATTTCTTTTGTCAGTTTTAAAGTTATTCATCTTGACTATCATTTTATACGATTTTAACAAACAAGGTGAAAACAATACTTCATTATGACATAAATGAGAATGGAACGGCTCTTGTCAAACTGCAGACACAATCAACGGCCGAGGGATAACAAAAACACTGTTTGCTAATTGCACTATGTTTTATACATTTTCCAGTCAAATATTCAGATTCAACATTATGCCCCCTGTAGCTATCATCTTTCAAACTGATTTGCCTCCGTTCTACAGCAAAACGATCAATTACTACCGTTTTTTATCGCACAAATTTCGATCATATCAGTTTCTCCTAAACGTGCAGTTTATCCAAGCATATTGCTATATTTTGGGGAGGCGGAAGAACCCCCTGCTCCACAAGTCAATCTAGCCTTGCGCATCGCCGACCCCCCCCCCCTCGTCGTCTTCCCCGTCTTCAATTGTCACCAACGGGTTGGCTAGTTCTCAGCATTTTTGATCCTGCACAACTTGTAAACCAAACATGCCCGCCCCGCCCCCTGGATTTTGCTATATGGGCGCCTATGTATAAAAGTAATCATCATTGACATGTACTTCTGAAAAAGCATAGTAGTAATTTATTCATCTGTGGTTTCATTTGTCCAGCAAATCACGCAGTTTGAAAACGTTGAACTCTGAACTCTGGAGGGGAATTAATAGACACGAAATAGCACAGCGGAGAATTGATTGGTTTACACAATCGATTGAATCAATTTAATCAATACCGAAATCAGAGCAAAAGTACAGGCAGTTGGGGTGAAATTAGTCACTTATTACTGATCAAAATAATCCAGAACATTTTGACGAAATTTTTAGTCCCACTATGAACGTTGGCTGCATTCTCGGACGACACTCAGTCCTAGTGTGGTTTGATTTCGTAACATAAACTGCACTGAATGGTCATGAACAATTCAAGACATATTAGTACCCTACACAACAAACCCTTGTTAGTTACAATATGGCTAAAGTAGATCAAAACTACATTCAATTGCTGCAGTCTTAGTTGCCTTACATTCTGTAAATTTGTCACGTACGTAGTCGACTTCAACAATAAGGCTAAAATCGTACCATATGTTTATTCCTATGGAATCACTTGTTTTCGGATTTTGCCCAGAAAGGTGTCAGGCGTCTGAGTAAGATCAATATTAATATTGCCCTGGACAATGAAATCACAGATGTTAAACAAACCGTATTTACTGATGTTTTAGCTACCCCAGCAACCTTTCAAGGTATAAGGTCAAAGAAACGTATTTTCTTTAATTTTGCACATCGCCACCTTGGAACCACACTGTCGAATCTTACCTCATTTTTCCAAAAGACCCACAACATGGTGGCTCCTCGGTATCGAAGTATTACTACTTCTTGCAGTTTGGATCCATGAGTAATGAGTATGGGCACTAGTAGTCAAATATTTGCAGAAAAGACGACAGATCAATAATGCCATTGTCAAGTTAATTTTTAAGCTTAAATTTGATACCAGGAAAAGGCTGCAAAGGTAGCAGAAATGGCAGTATGCGGATTTGATAGGTTTACAAAAAAAAAAGTGAGACAAGTTGAAATGATTTTGATATTTCATTCATCTGTAAGAGGGTTATATTTAAAAAAAAAATCCATTTTCCGTTTTATTGCGTTAATAATTCAGAAAATGTGTTTACATTTATGTGGAAAATGGTTACATCTGCCATCTCTCGGCAAACGGCTACAACTACAGATGTAACCATTTTCTACATAAATGTAAACACATTTTCTGAATAATTAACGCAATAAAACGGAGAATGAATATTTTGAGATGTACCTTCTTCCAAATGAACGATTTGATAAATGGGTTGTTTCTAGCCACAGAGCACAAAACTTTGAACCGTGAAGTCAAACAGTAGGTAAACCTACCTACTTATTTAGCGCTATAAGCAAGAAATGTTTTCTTTTTTCTGACCATTGTTGTTGAACAAATCATACAGTTGTTCAAAAAAATACTGACACACCCTATTTTTTATTGAATCTCAATACAAAAAGATGAATTTTTTTATGCCAAATTTATTTGTAAACTAATATCCGAATAGTCATTTTTGATGGCAAAATAATGAGCAAATTAAAAATAATATAAGATTAATAATAGGAGTTATGAAACTCAAGTATCAAAAAAATATTGGCACACTAAAAAGATAAGCAAGTAAATAAGTATTAACAAATCTTATTTACAGTCAGCTCTTTGTTATCATACCATTTACATCAATTATGACCTGAAGCCATTATGGCATGAAAATTCTGAGTTATTTCTGGTCCAATTTGGTCCCATTCCTGCACAATAACAACTTGTACCTGTTGTTTGGCAGAAATTTAACTCTTAAGAGCCTTTAGGTCCAGCAGGTACCGCAAAGTTTAATGAGATTGCTATTTGGGGATTGCGGTGGACTTTTGAGTTGTGCAGAAACATTGTAAAGTAACCATTTCTTTGTTTTAGTGGTGGTGTGCTTAGGATCATTATCCTGCTAGAAGATAGATGTATACGTGATCCCCACTTTTTTCCGCACTGCTGTTCAAGTTATTGCGCGAAATATCAACATACTTGTCTGCATTCATGACTTCGATGAAGCTTAGCTTTTCAATACCACTCCAGGACATGCAGTCCTTGATTAAAACACTCTCATCGCCATATTTCACTGTTGGATCGACACGCTTCATTTCCAAATTAAGTGAGAGGTTTTTCTATACATATCTGCGACCATCAGAACCGAAATCGTGGCGATTAAAGATCAAGATTTAGGCTCCGATGATCGCAAATTTGTATGGAGAAAACCTAACACCTAATTTGAAAAATAATGTTAGTCCAACAGTGAAACATGGCGACGGGAGCCCTAGACTCCATCGAAGAAATTATGAATTCAGACAAGTATGTTGACATTTTGCGCAATAACTTAAACAGTAGGACTGGAAAAATGGGAACCAGGGAAACGTTTATCCTCCAGCAGGATAATGATCTTAAGCACACCGCCACTAAAATAAAGGACTGATAACTTTACAATGTTCCTGCACAATCCCTCAATATCAGTCTCATTATACATTTGCGGTACTTGCTTGTTCTGAAGGCCCGAAAAAATCAAATGTCAGCAAAACGGCAGCTGCAAAATGTTCTTATGGTGAAATGGCGCCAAATTTAGACCAGATTATAACTCAGAAATTCCATGCCAAGATGGCATCAGGGCATAACTGATGCACATTATGATAACAAAGTACTAGCTGCAAATAAATTTTGTTAAAATTTATTTACTTGTTCGTTTCTTTCGTGTACCAATCCTTTTTTGACCTTTGAGTTTCATAATTTCTATTATTATATTATTTTCAATTTGTCAAATCTATTGCCATCAAAAATGGCTATTTGAATATTAGTTTTTAAATAAATTTAGTATTTAAAAATTCATATTTTTGTTAGAGATACAAAAAAAAACAGCGTGTGCCAACACTTTTTTGACTCACTGATAGTTCCGCCTAGAACATATAGATAGATTTAGCGCATTAACCGAGGATGTTTCTCTTTAGTCTGATCGAGAGTGTTTTGGTCTGGGCCGTTGAAAGCATCACATTATTCGGGACATCACAATACGATCGTCATCCATCCATTTCTCCAACAAATTCCATGGATCCGTTCCATTCCTCTACTATAAAAAACTAGCCACTAAGGCCCTTTCGAACACCCCTTCATCAGGGCTGATCCGAACGTTCTCCTCAGAGCACTGGGGCTGAGTTCCGTTGCTCAAGTCGGCGCTATCCTCAAACGGGGACTGCTCGTGGCTGCCTCCGCTGCCGTACGAAGAGTTCTGATTGCCTAGCAACGGTAGACCAAGGAGTAGTCGGATGTCGTCGCTAAGATGTTCGGCCTCCTTGACCTGATGGTAGATGCCTTCGGCTTTGTTCAGCATCTGGTCTACGTCCAACTTGCCGTTCAATTCGTTGATGTGCTGAAAAGAAAACGTATATCTCTTTCCAATGGTCCAGTGAGAAAGTTCACATTTCAAATTAGAATTACGCGGCAACCGTATACGCGAGGAAGTGGGGAGAGGTCTTGATCGACGCGTTCAGCGTGCGGGTTAAATAGTCACAATGGAAAGTTGGACCGGAGCGCAACGTGCTTTTGCTACCGAGGCTTACTTTAAGAGTGGTGATTCATACGCAGCTGCCCTAGGGAAATTTTGTAACAACATCGCCGACCAAGAGATGCCCCAAGTAAGAACCTATGGAAAAAGCAGATTAAGAGATTCCGTGAATCAGGCTCTACTCTTAGTCAAACCATTCCTCGGCGTTCTGTAAGAAAGCATTACGCTGCTTTGGTAATCCCTAGGTCAACACCGCATTGCATAAGAAAAAAAAGGGAGATTCGTCTTTGTAAAATCCAATTAGACGGTTAAAAGAACAAGCATAATTGCAGATATTGAGCACCAACGAACCCAGAATAGAGACATCAACAGCTACATAGTCCAAAGATAACTGTGTGGTGAGCCATATCCTCTAGCGGTATGATTGAACCGTATTTATTTGAAGATGAAAGCGGTCATGCATTTACAGTCAATTCCGACCAATACAAGGACATGATTGACACGTCGATTTAACAGAAACCCATGCAACCAACAGTATGGGGTCACTACCCATACCTTTTCCTCTGAAAGTTATATCGAAGTTTGGAGACATTCACTGGTCTCCTAGGTCACCCGACCTCACGCCATGCGATTATTTTTTTGTGGGGTTATCTAAAGTCAAAAATGTATTCTAATAACCCACGAACACTGGAGAAGCTTAAAGACAACATTCGACAATAAACAATCAAGATTACTGCGGAACTCTGCAAGAGAGTGTTTCAGAATTTGCGCGCACGATTAGAAGAGTGTGTCCGAAGGCAAGGAAAACATTTGGACAAAATGATATTCAAGAAATAAAACCCGCCGAATTTACGAATATATTGATAGTAATAAATATTATCGTTTCATTAAGTTTGTATTTTTTTTCTTATCTCAAAAAGTGAACTTTCCCATTGGACACCCTGTACTTGTATAGATAGTGATAGTGTTACGCCATTCAGTATCATGTACCGCGCATTAAGCACATACCGAATGCTTCAATTTAAACCCTCACCATTGGGATCTCGGAAACGGTAAGAGATACGAGTTGCGTATTTAGGTACCTAACAAGATCTCACTTAGAGAGCTTTGAAATTCAGAGTACTTCCGGCGAAAGACGGAAAAAACGAATTTTCCCACAATCGTTTTAATTTTTTCCTGACTTCAATGTAGTCAGGTTATAAAATAAGTTTCACATTGACAGATGAATGGAGTTTTTAATTCTGATTTCAAATATGTATATATGTCATGCACTGACATTGCCGAACCTTAGTTATTTCAGAAAAACAGGTAGGCTTTAAAACAATCATTTAATTTGTTTTGTATACCAGATCAGACCTCTCACATAGCCACAACATAGCAACATACTTTGGTAGACTGAGAAGAAGAGACATAAAATGAGCCACGAAAAATGTACAGAGAAGAGTCAGGCTTTGTCTAAGAAATAACGTACGACGTTTTGAAAATCTGCTATTACCTCTATTTATTTATGCTATTTATTGTTATTACCATCAATAAAATTATTTTGTGTTCAGGGTTCATCACACCTTTTTATTTCCTTATAACTTCCATTGAACAACAAAATCATGGCCAACTATGGAAATACATCACTGAATTTAGGACTGAATAGTCCATTTAAATGTACAAAATTCCAATATAGCATCCATATGAAAAATGAAAGATGGTGATGGAAGTCGAAAGAAGAAATGTAGAGGTGAATAAGTAACAATGACAACATGCAATTTATTTTGAAATCCCATCTCAAATAGTCAGGAAAAAATAAGTGATTTTGGGATAAATTTGGTATACGAAACAAATGACCATCTGATAATTTCAAGGCCTACCTGCTTTATTTTGAAATAGTAAGGTTTAGGATTATACATTTTTTGAATCAGAATTAAAAATAAATAAACGTCATCTGTGCAAAAATCTAATATAGCGGCCATACAAGAATAAAGTTGACGCTGGAGGACAATAGACGAAACGTCATATTAAAAATTTAATTAAGCCATCTTGTAGAGGAGAAAAAGTGCCAACGTAACGTGCAATTTACTTTGAAATCCCAGCACAAATAATGTCAGGGAATTAGAACGATTTTGGGAAAATTCGGTTTTTCCGTCCAGCAGTACTTTGAATTTCGAAACTTTCCAAGCAGCATTTTGTTGATTTCCTAAATACACAACTTTGGCCCCATTTAAGCGAGTTCATATCTCTTACAGTTTCCGTGATCCCAATAGTGAGGGTCAAATTTGAAACATCTCAATGCTTGTCTTTATTGGACTGCCTATGTAGTACATAACCATCGATTCAAATGTGAGAAAATTATTACTGCATTCGAGGTCTGAACATTACGTGATGAGATCGGCAACGTGGCCTTCGATCCGGTAACACTGGAGGCGCCGGGCTGGGAGGGGAGACAGGAGAACGTGATCCGCCTTCAGTACAAGTTTGAACTCGCTCGAGTGATTTGGTTGTGAAATAGTGTTTCCTCTTTCATTCAAATGGCTGTAGCTGACCAGCTGGAGGCTATCTCAGTATCGGAGTTCCAGCTCCGCTACGAGGAGCACTGTATGGCTTCAGCAGGAAGTTATTTTGAGAATAACAATATAAAATTCTAATTATGTTTAAAGAAAATCAGTCTTATCACTTAATTTACAGACCTCATATGCTATCCATGAAGTATACTTGGGCTGGGAATAGTTTAATTAGCACCCAGATGCTATCATGAAACTGTCAACTTTTATGTTAAAATATAGTGCATCAATTCAGTCACTTCATCATTTTTATCACCCACAATTTCAGCTCGCAAAAATAATTGGAAATCGACTGTATATTCTTACCTTCAAAATCTCCGTGAATCCATATCCAGGCCTGATGAGGTTGTCCTTTTGTGAATCCAGTATGGCTGTACATACTAGAAGATGAAAGTTTTCACACGGATATCCTGTCCATAAGACCTCCCAGAATCTCATAACGTCTTCTTGACTCAGTTCTCTTTTAAACCTACAAAAAATATTCAAATTGATAAATATACTTTGGAGTAACTAAACAAATTACTTACCAAACCAACAGCCACCTAAAGCAGAAAAACATGTTTCCAGACTCATGAGTATCCAGATAGGTTGCAAGCTCTGGATTGACAAAAGCTAGGAGGGTGTGCAAATTACTCAGTTGTTCTTTCATTCCAGCTTGATCTATATCGAAATTCCGTATCTGCAAAATAGATAAAGTAAGAGCATCTATACTGTCGTAAAGATCATTTACTGCCTTTTTTTTAAATTTTGACGGCAATACATTTCTTTTACGATAATAATTACAGAACATATTATCATTGATCAAGTTATTTAACAAAAATAGTTATTTTTCCAGTATGTCATATCTCATATTAATTACATTTCCTAAGCACAAAAGCAGTAAATCAGTTACAGAGTCCGAAACTGTAACAAACTTCAGTCCGCTCTCGCATCTGTCACACTGACAGCAGCTGTCAATAAATTTGCTAAATGACAGTTCTGAGTATTGTCTAAAAGCGTACAAAAGTATTTTGCCAAAGGTGAACACAAAATAAGTTATAAGCAATGCAATTCAAATGCAATAGTGTGATTGCTTTATATTTTTCTGGGAAATCACAAAAAGCGATTGTACGTGAGCTCAAACATCTCGATGTGAATAAGGTTTTTGCTTATCGCACCATAAAACATTACAATGATACTGGTAGCATCGCTAAATATCATGGTGGTCAAAAGAGTGCAATGTCACCTCAGATGGTTCGAAAAGTGAAGAAGCGACATGAGCGAAATTCACGATGAAGTGCCAACCACTTTTCTAAAGAACTGAGAAAATGTAATTATATAATTATGAATTATTGAATTATTAGATGTTGAAAAGTTTTTTTTTGTTTATGTGAGCTTCTTTATGAATAAATTATAGTAAAATAAAATAATATTCTATATTACAACATTTTTCTTTTTATAGAATAATATAAATATATAATGAAAATTACAAAAAAATAAAACGGTGTTTTTTGCATAGTATAAAAGCAGTAAATCGCATGTTACTGACTTTTGATATACGACAATTAAAGACGGAGTGACATTTAATTTAAGCCTTAACAACATTTTTATCGTGTCAATAATACTATTTATTTAGTTTGAAAAAATCCACTATTTTCAATTTTCTCAGTCCTCAGTAGTACAATCTACGGCACTAATCTTGACAAAAAAACAAAAAGAAATACTTATACTAAAGTAATAAGTACTAACCACTTTATTCATAAAACCAACAAAGCACCAAAATGAGTCAACTTCATCTCGCATAAGCTGTACTATGGGCGACAACAGATCACTCATCCCTTGGACATAACCCAGATCAAAGTTGTACATTACATACGTCATCAATATGTCATTCAGCATCTGCAGGTTTGAGTTGTTGTCTCCTGCATAGAACTCTAAGGTCCTGTCTGCAAATGTGCCATTAGTTAGAAATGCAATTATTTGGTTTGTTTAAGATTTATTTAGCATGATTGTTACAATTAGATTCTTTCAAAAATTATAATAATTATATAAGATACAAATATTTAAAAAATCAAAACTTGCATCTCTAAGCATTTTCAGTGTCAGTGAAAGGTTTCTTTAATTGCCATTTAAATATCTTTAAATTACAAGTATATAATTTGGTTTATTAAATTCAAGTAACCCCTTCTGAAATATTGATTTGCTAGTTATATTACTATTGCAATTTTGTAAATAGAAATCTATATTTCCTCTTGTATAATAAAATTGTGGCAATGATTATTAAATTCTATGTTCTAAATGATTTGGCAGAACATGATTTTTTATTTCAAATATAAAAATAAAAATTAAACAGTCAACCACTTCAATTCTTGCAACAAAGGTTTTATTCATGTTGGTGTACTTAGTTTTATTCACTATTATTGTCATAGATTTATTTTATAGGACTTGTAATTTTCAGAACCCAGCTTCATTTGCAGTGAACAAGATAATTGAACAATCTTTTAAATAAGGTAGAATAATCGTATTATAATCGATTTTTTGGGTTAATCTTTTATGCGAATCCCTATAAAAGTAATTTATTTTTTTGGAATTTTGTTTTTTGTTAATATTTAATTAATTCAACTTTTTCAAATATTTCGCTATCTATCCTAACTGTGATATTGTTTTCATTTAAGTATTTTCCTGTTAGCATACATTTTGTTTTAGAAACATTCAACTAATTCACGATTTTCTCCAAGTTAGAATTTAGCATCTTTAAAGCAGTATCTATATTTTTATCTAATATATAACATTAATGTATCATCTGCAAATATCTGAATTTTACAATAATCTAAGATATCACAAATGTCATTAATGTATAAAATAAATAAGAGTGGGCCTAGTTTACTATCTTATGGTACACCAACAGAGATATTTTTGAGCTTGATAACGTAGATCCATTTTTGGTAATTAAAACAATAATTCTGTAAAATAATTCGTTGGGTATTGAACTTACCAGTTCTGTTGACATCTTTCTCGATAAGGCTCTTCCTGTCTCGGTAATCAGAAAAGTTGTCTTCTTGTACTTTTGATATGCTTCTCCACTGTAACTTCATCGCATAATACTCATCAGTTTTTGATCTAACTAATGCCCGCCGCTCTGCCTCTGTGCTAGTCCAAGGATAATAATCGAGTAGGAATTTCCAAACTTCTTTTCGCAAAGATGGTGTAATTCCCTGAAAACATGAACCATGAGAAAACAAAAGCTAGAAAATGGCTAAGATAGTTCTTCCAAACTTCAAAGAAATACGTTAGATATGTTTTAACGCTGCCCTTTCAAGGCATTTGTTTAAAAATAAAATCTGACACTGAAAACCGGTTTTTCTTTAATAACATTTGAACAAAACTGTATCATGAACAAAATATTGACAGCTTACCAAGTAGTCAAGGCCTCATATGATGGTATCCACGGAGAACAACATATGCGCTAGGAACGTACTGGTTTTAATGCAATATTGCTAAATTGATTTACAAAATAATGGCTCAAAATATTTTTAAGAACTATCTGGAAAAATTTGTTTTTGATTCATCCCGATGTAATCATGAAACTGCTTCCAATGTACTGGTTCCCAGATTTTGAAATCATACTGGTTTTGATAACAGATTCGTAATCAGCGACCCGAAAAGCCCATTTTCATTTCATATCACTTCTCAGTTTCATTCATTTTCCATTTTTTAGTTGCCTGCAGTGTTGCGGTCTTTTTTTCAATTACAATTCATCGAAATCCAGCAAGGACATTTTTCCCATATATCGAATGTGAAAAGATTTGGCAATATTGCATCACGGTTAGGCCGTCCCCGACGATCTAAACCAAATTGCTCAATACGTTGTCAAACCTTTGTTGTACAAAGGTTATTAAACAAAAAACTGGTTTGTATCTCCGAAACTAAGCGGTATTTCTAAAATCGTCAGGATAAAATGGTCTTAGAATAACCCAAAGTAGCACCCACTAAATGTATCTGTGTCTAAAACACTGATAAATTAACTGGAGAGCACAACTATAACGGCACAACCAATTTTCGTTTTCTCTTAAATGTAACATATAATTATAAAGATTATAAAAGGAGGAAAAATAATGGATATGGAGCTGATTCAAATGCTTTTACTTCGTCGTTACTGGCAAATTTATTAACTATAACCGCGGCTCGGATAAGATGGTCACACCGCAATTGGCTATGGGCGTATTGACAGGTATCACCCTTATTTTACTTAGAATAATTTTGTTGCAATAACAGAAAACCTGCCGCGAGGATGTTATTTATCCGATATGGTCAAAGCTAAAATCTTACCATTTTGTGAAGAAGGGTTAAGTCGACGAGAAATGCTCAAAGCCTTAATCGGCCCTATGAGGTTATTTATAATTATTTAAGCGACCCTACTCATTACGCGTCAAACAAGAAAGGTGGCCCCGAGAAAACAGTTTCACTTAGGACCGAAAGAAGAATCACTATCACAGCGAGCAACAGCAACAACTGGTAGAAGAATAGCGAAAGAGTGTCAGGCAAATGTTTCGCGATTGACAATTGGAAGCATTTTGAGAAGTGAGCACTTTCAATGCCGCAGCGTGTCTTCTGTTCCCCCATAACACCGCAAGGCTGGTGTTTGCTCGGCTCAATCTGGACAAGCACTGGGAAAACGTGATACTTTGTATTTGTAGATGGTCCTGATGAATTTAATTCCTACTGGGGTCATTTGCGAAAAGAGCCTCAATATTTTCCAAAACGGAATTCCTGCTGGAGGACTTTGATGGATTGGGAGGCTTTTACAAAGGCAGGGGTTTTGACATTAGCCTATCCTTAATCAAGAATGAACAGGTCAGAATACTTCGAAGTTCTCGAAGCGAATTTCTTGACGGTAATAGTGGTAGATATTATCAATTTCAACAAGACAACGCACGAATGCTCATTAGTAGGCAGTCAATGGCTTGGTTTCCTGAGAGGTATCAGAGTCTTGGACTGGCTGTCGATATTCGCCAGACACGAACACTATGGAGAACCTCTGGGAAATCTTAGTTCATCGACTGTATGCAGATAACAAAACATATGCCTCGATAAATCACCTTATTGCTTCGTTAGAGGACATTTGTGCCAATCTGGAGAAAGAAGTATTTCACAGTGTAGTCAATAGTATGCCTGCAAGACTTGAACTAATCCCAAAAAAACGGTGGACCAGCCCATTAGTAATCTGAAATTGCTTTCGTTCATTGTTGCTAAGAAAATTGTTACAAACCATTCAATTTTACATACACTTAAAAAAATTAAGGGAGCATAAATAAATTCCTATAAGATTGCAATCACATCTTATAGGAGGTTTATACCAGTTTTCCTAATTACCCTCACATTCTTTGAGCGATCACTGGCTAATGAGATTTCAGTGGTCGATGCCAAAAGGATCCTTTTTCATTCAAAGTCAAATATCTCCGCGCCAAATTATCGTATCGAGATTTCAATGACAGGATATTGAAGCTGAATAAACGGGCTATCTGATCCATATGATGGCCTAACAGAAAAAATGTTGCAAACCCATGGAGGCAAAAATTTTGCAAAAAAATTTCCTAGTGCTGTTAGAATTGCATGAGAACCGTTGCTCCTAAAATTTAGGCTAAAAAATCTGAAAACTAGAATCTTGATGCTTCAAAATGTCTTTTTCAGAGTATAGATACGACCATTCTTCACTGAAATACAGCCGAAAATCACCGAAAAATTTGGATGTTTCTTTGTTCCCTTAATTTTTTTAGTAGTGTACTATCAGATAAATTACGTTATGATTTGCTGTGTAAATACATTTAAATCAACTCCATATTTACCTATTATTTTTGCTTCTTCTACCACCACTGTTAGTTGTATTTATTTACATTTAAGTTGAGCAAGAAAATAACGAAAATTGATGAGGCGTTATAAGTATGCTCTCTAGTTTAGAATAGTGGTACAAGAACAACTTACTCCTCTGAATACAAAGGTCTTAATATTCTCAACATCTTCTATCCTGCCATCACAGTTTAGGTGATCTCTCCACTGTTCGACAGTCAACGGTCTTTGCCTAGGGAAGTCTTTTCTAGGGGGCACCTTGGCTATGACTTCATAGTCGCCTTGCGAGTGTGATGTCGTGGTAGTGTTCTCATACTCAGAGATGCTACGGTGTAAATCTTCGCATTCTCTGGCGTCGATCTCGCGTTGCTCGGGACTACTGTAGACTACAAAAAACCAAAACAGCACTACAAACTATTACTACTTTGTGAGATTGTTTCCTACCATAATCTGTAACTTTTGCGAAAGCTTCAAAAGTGGCTTCATATGGATGTTCTTTGATGTTTTTGACCATCTTCCAAAAGGCACTTCCTTCACTTTGCAAGTGCAGCTCAGCAAATGATCTGTCAAGTTGTTGGATTTCCAAGGTATTTGAGTCATAGACGATATAGAGGTGTTTGTCACGTTTTGAAACTGATGTTTTCAGAATTGCACCCAGCACACCTACAAAAATAATCATGATTGGAAATTTCACTACTTGTACAGGGTGTCCTAGAAGCCAAGTCATGTCATAATAGTTATCAGAAAAACATCATCATGTACTTTTCAAATTATAGGCTTTAAAAATCTGTTAGTTTCCATTACTACAAATTTCAATTTTTTCTTAGATGGAGTGGCAGACAGTGTCATTCTACATAGTGACAGCAAGACAGATAGTAACCCCACTTTTATTAATTCATGATTGTGTAGTGCCACCATGTCTGTGTAAAAAGTACAACAATATGCCAATTTGCACCTCATTTATGGGGAATGTAGATGCAGTGGAAGTACTGCGGCTAGGCTTTATCGTGAGAGGTACAAAATCTCGTCATTCCGATCACCGATTTTCTGTGAATCAGCATCATTTACTCTCAGAGGGATGATTCCCAAATCAAGTGCATGGTGAAGGAAGAATTTTATTTCCTTCGCGGACGTCGAAGAAGACCAGAGTACTTCAGTATGTCAAGTAGAAGCAAGCATGGGAATGCAGAAAAGTGCAGCCCATCAAATCTTGCGAAAGAACGAGCTCCACGCGTGCCACGTACAGCGAGTACAATCTCTACAACAAAAAATCCACATTTGATCAGACCAGCAAAAGTAAAACAGCACTTAAAAAAGTGGCCTATGGGAGATCCATCAAACATTCTTCAATTGTAGAATCGACTTCAACCCTAGTAGTAGTTTAAATGGCTGATATAGCTACATACTGCTTTCTGTTTGTGAGGAACGTTTGCACCCATTCTAAAGGCTGATTTTTTATGTCATAACACAATAGCCTGCTCAAAAGGGTATCATGTCTACCACATTCAAAAGCTCTCCTGAGGTCATGCAAGACCCAACAGAACTTTACCCTGCTTCAACAAAGTAAACAACTTCAGCCTAAAAAGTATGGATAGCAGAGTCTGTGGATTTACAAGCCTGAAAACCATGCTGACACTCGATTAGTTTATTTTCCTACACAAACGTCAGTAGTCGCTTCCAAAAATTCATATTTCCCTAATTTAGAAGATGAAGAAGAGCACAAAGTAAGAAGCCTATAATTTTCCATTGAATGCATGTCATCTTTTTTATATAAAGGTAAAAATTTTCCACTTGTCAATATGTTGGAAAGATTTCCACTACCAAAAAGTTAATTCAAAAGGTCACAGGGCAAATAACCTCTAGCAGAACTTGACAACCAAAAAGTTGGGCACCTAATCAGGACCATATGGTTTTTTGATTTTAAGCCATTCCATGATAAGCTTGTAAAATTCTTCCTCTAAAATTTTCTTTGAAATGACATACTGGTTTTCTGGACTCTTGCAGTTATATTGCTTGCAGCACTTTTGAAGAATTTATTGAAAGAAATGGCTATAGTTTCTGGTCAACCAGTAACAGTACCCACAGCACCCACTTTTACTGACAAATTTAGTTGAGTGCTTGTTTTTCCTGATAAATTTTTAATGATATTCTCTGAAGATGAAAGTAGATTGTTAGATCTTTTGATAGGATTTACTTCATGCCTCATTTATTAGCTTTTGACATTGATATACATTTCTTTAAATTCTTCATTGATTTTTGTTATCTGGAAAAGCAACTTGAGGTTGTCTGATGGTGTCATTAACCCACTTCCCGTCATCAGCTTTTTTGCCACTTCAAAATCAGAAACTATCAGAACATAAAATTGAAAACATCCTTGAAGTACAACTATCTATATCCATACAGGCATGACCACATGACCAGTCCTCACTTCAAAGACTAGTTTTGTTTGAATCAGAATTAAAATTTCAAGAATAAAATGATGTGCATTGATCCTATTCATAAACAATCAGCTAAAATAATCTTGTGGTCACTAATTAAATTGGCAGATATATTCCATCCATGATTTACAAATATAAGATTTACAGAAGAACATTGTGATGTGACCCTTGTTTGCTTCAAATAGAAATTGTTTCTTAGTGTAAATCAATTGTGTAGACTATGAATCTGATGTCAGTCTTCGACTGAGATTGACTATTTTGCTTCTCTAAATAGATCTTAGTGACACTGTAGCATTTTTGAAAGTTACATTCAGTATCTGCAACATAAATTACCCAGGGTACACACTGGTTTGTTCATGATAAAAATGTAAATTCTAAAAATGCAAAAAGAGATTCAATGAAACAAATATTATAAAAACGTTTTCCAATAAATTACACTTTATACCTACATATTTATTGTCGTTCAAATATTACCTATGGAAAACCTGTTAAGTAGACATGGGTAAAACACATGTGCTACTTGAAAAATTTTAAACAAAAAATAAGTAAAAAGCTCCTCCTGGTATTATAATAGTTGATTCCATGACCTAAAATGTTGCAAAACATATTAAAAGATGAATAATAGAAATTGTGGACATCAAACCTTCTTTCTTTGCAAATTTAACTGGTATCTTGAGTCACACTGTGCACATATTGACAATGTTCTAAATAGTAGCAGAGCCCATTCAAACCCTTTCTAAACTTCATGTGAGCATCAGAAATAAGAATTTACGTTAAGAAACCAACATGTTGCAGATATTGTAAAAAATGTAATTCATTTTTGCATTATCAAAATAACTTACCCTTTATGAGACTCTCGCAATTACCATGTTGAAATAGAAAACTGCACAGTGTCTCTGACTTCCCATCATAGAAAGTAAGGTGTCGATACTTATTGGCAACTCGAAAGCTTTTTACTTCATCTAATCTGATCTTAATGCATCTGTTACGATTTTGGTAATCAGGCGGATAATTTCCGCTCAGAGTTCTGAATCTTTTCTGGATTGTGTTAACAACGGCCCATTCCTGGTCCTGCATATCAGAGTCCACTGTGATGTCGTTAGGTTTCCATTCAATAAACTTTTCTTTCTTGTCGGCGTTTAAAGACTCGGAAATGTACAGTGTCCCTATAGAATTTATGTGAGACATATATGCAGCCTGCGCCTGTTTGAGTAGGACTCCATCCTGAGTAAAGATTTCCAAACAATCGTTGAGGCTGTCCCCAGTGTCCCCCATTTTTTCTCTATAAACAATGACCACGTCAGTTTATTTGTAAAATAATTTACCGAATTTTGTAATATTACTTGGTCAAACCACGTCCAGCTAGTCCAAAAGGTACAGCAAAAAGGACAGAATTAGTGGAAGACAAATTTGTCGTGTACTTTTTTAAAAAAAATTGCGTATGTAGTTTTTATTTACAAGAATTCACCCAAAAAAGGATTGACATTGATAACACAAAACACACAAAACATATACACTGAAGAGCGTACAGTCCCGTGTTATCCATAGGGTAAGACGGTTGACTTATGTCAGTGTCAAGCCGCCATTTTGCTGAATACAGCTTGGCTGCCAAATTGTGCACGACCGTCATATGCGACGAGACGCCAGCTCTTTGTATAAATATGAGAATGTTGTATAATTTTATTGTTCACATTTCTAATGTTATATGGAAGATCTTATAACGTCAGGTGTTATCAACATACTTATGCTGTTTTGATAAACAAGAACTCACTTATCTGTTAAAGCAGCAGCGTTAATAATACAGGCCGTAATAACATTAAAAAAGCCCTACCTACTTGAGAATATATTTTCTTAATATTAAATTGTATAAAATTATGGTCCTTATATTTTTATTCCTGGTGGGGGTTTTCTTTAGCACCTGCATTCAAATATTGTTAAAATTAGTGATGAAAACAAATTCTCTTAGAAATAAATCATAGTTGTCGTTACCGTCTGCTACTTTACTATTGTTACCAGATTTTTCATATGCATTATAATACAGGAATATTTAACCATATTTCCATAACGTATATTATCAGAATATGACTTTCGATTCATTCTTATCTGCTTCTTTTTAGGCTATAAATATTTAAAAATATAACAAAACTCCTTGTGTTGAAATACATATTCAGGCTTGAAACCTACACAAACTGTCGTGAGTTTGTCATATGAATTACAGAATTCCAGTACTAGCAGAGATATATTATATTTGATATGAGACATGTGAGTGTGTGGGATGCACTAAGGCCATCTGTTTCAGACTAGTTTGTGTTATTTCAGTAGCGGTAGCCAAAGTAAGACATTTTAACTGTTTCCTTTATAAACAGAAAAATTGTACCATCTAGCGATATAAAACATACTGGAAAAATCGAATGCCAACTGGTGTAGAAAGTAAGAGGAACCTAATCTTGTATGACCTAAAGTATAGTATATACTTATTTTCCAGATGGCACCAGTGGCCGCGAAAAAACCCATTCTGTTCCTCCAGATGGCGCTAGCAGCTATCAGGAAAAAAGTAGGATAAGTAGTAGAAATCATGCTCATGGAAATAGGTAATAGATCTATTACGATTGTAATAGGCGGAACAATACTGTAGCGTTTTTCTGGGTTCTTTTGGGTGTGGATTAAAACACTGGATTCCACAAAAAGAAAGGCACTAATTTATTCAAACTGATAGAACATTTATATGCACCACTATTTATGTCTGACTAATTCTTATGTCGCCATTGACTGCACTTTACTCTACTCCGCTCTACTCTGGTGTAATCTGTAGTCTCCTCCTCCATCTCCCGGCCGCCGAGTCATATATTGTCCCAATTACTGATTCGAGAAAGGCCGCCATTTGAACCACAAAGCGACATCTAGGATATTGGAGGTCACTTTGCGTCGATCTAGAAGGCGATCTACTGTCACGGTCCTCACAGACGCCGCCAAGCGGCTTGCGCGGTCGTGGTTCGCGTAAAAGCAGAGATCGGCCATTAAGCTCTGGTGATTAGGAGACTCACCCAACAGATGGCGCCAACAGAACTATTCGTCACAAAACTGATACCAAAGCAAAGACGGTTTTCTCAAAAACCGCATATTTTATCGACATCAAACAAAAATGTATGTATGTATTTGTAGTAGAAGTAAAACTAGGAGCTTTTAATGAATTAATTGTTATTCACATGGACAGAGATGGAAAGATAAAAAAACCAGAAGGAAGTCAGGCGAATAAGGCTGGCCAAAAACTCGTTTATTGACATTGCTCTGTGACTAGGAGCATTATCGTGATGCAACACCCAGTTGTTTTTGATCTGGTCAGTGGTGTTGTGAATCAAATTTAACCCTTCCTTGACCATTCTGACTGTCAACCGACGATCTGAACGCACAAGATCCCCGATTCTGACGTCTTCAATCTCACTTCTGAAAATGCTTTATACCACCGAAAAACCTAGGCTCTTGAAAAAAGTTTAGCAAGAGTTTCCGTTGCAGACATCTTGATTTTTGGGCAATCAAGCCGAGGCCCAGGACTCGGGCTCCGTGGGTCTGAGTCTAAGAAAGAATAAAGAAAAGCACAACAAATAAAATTTCATATCGAACTAACCCGGCTGCCTTCCGTTAGAGTTAATCGTATTCGCGAATACTATACAAATTGGCAGAAGGAAAGCAAATAAGAGGGCGGCTGCAGATCCCATTCTTCGGCAGAGTGTGAAACAGGCGCGAAGCAGAGGATCACACCAAGGCAATCCTTGATCTAATATACATTTCGTGCCCTGTCATTAATCATTTTCGGTCGATGTGTGTGCGTGCCCAGCACTGATAAAACTGCTACCTCGTCTTTCCCCTACTCACCGAGACTTCTCTGAGCCGATGCACGGTGTAGCATCGTCGGTGGCTCTGCGATCGCCAAAAGATTGAACTAAACTGCAAGCGATAGGGACAAGGATCCTATTCTTTTGGTTCTGATTTCGAAATAAATTGTTGCTGGATACTTAAGCTCCGTATTAATGATGTTTGTTCGTAGACGCCCACAAGAGGAACTAAACATTTACATATTTAGCATGCCCATGCCTCTGTATAATTTTGGGGATTTTTGGATTTTCCCCCCCTTATGAAAAAGTGACAGCCCGCTGTCGGGAGCCTCGGTATCTAAGTGGTTAACGCGTCGAGATAGCAATCGGTCGACTCAAGGCTTGCTGGTTCGAATCTCTGCCTCGCAAGTTAATTCCGAGCCATGGATGTTGTGTTGTGGGTTATCTACGTATATCCCGCAACAGATCGCTACAACATCTACGGTGCATCGCTGGTTTATTCAATAATCAGTAACATTTAGATGGCTTGTGGAGTAAAACAGTGTTGCTACTATGGGATCGGAAAAAAGGGCTAAAGGTGGGCTAGGTGCCAGGCTTCGGTTTACCACCACTACTACTACTACTACTGGCCATGGACTTTTTAACGACTACCTGCATCGTCTCAAGTTGACAAACACACCGCAGTGCATCTTCTGTGCAGAGGTCGACATCCCAAGGCACACATTCTTTGACTGCCTCAGATGGAATTCCAGAAGACAACTTGTCGGATTGCACGTAGGTGAGAGACTTAAGTTGATGGTTAGCAACGAGAGGTGATGGAATCACATCGCAACGTATGTTAAAGAAGTCCTAAGGGAAAAGAAGAGGGTGCAAACTAGTACATAGGTGCACGACGTGAGGCTGGCAACACCGTTTTTGAAGAAATGCGAAAGTGGTACCTGAGCGATGTTTCTAATGAAGAACTGTATTCAGGAGGCAGGGGTTTTTTACTCCAGCCGTCGCAAAGAGCTGCGCGTGCAACTTTACTACCGCAGCACCGCTTTTCAAGAAAGAAGACTATCACGTTTTTCCCCTGCCAATTAAAAAAAAACTACTACTACTGCAAGGTACTACTGCCCTCTGCTCTCTTCCTAGACGTCTTGATGGTAGATAGAAATTTCGATTAAAAAAGTTTTGGGAGCAGGTACACTCTCGCAAAAGCTTGTCTCTTGCCGATGTCCTCCTCTCTCTGAGAATTTTTTTGCCAGTGTCTAACCGTCTGTTTATATTTTGTATTGTTACTTCAAATTCTGAATTTGAGGAATGTTTTTTGAAGTTTCCAGAAACTAAAAAGTCTTCAATATATCCCTTAATACTTTGCGATCAAGTCATAAGGCATTGCAGCCTGGTTTATTGTTTTATGATGAAAATGTTTATTTTGTACTATAGATGCATTGAATTATTACTATACAGCTTGTTACTTCCCGTATTACACACGGAGTCATCAAAGGTTGTACAGGGTGGCCGATATGTAACTGACTGGTTTGAATCTTGAATATTTGTGAAATGGAATAAAAAAGTCCATTTTTTCATCTTAATCTTTTAGTGAAACTTAGAAATTATGTATGAAAAATAATATCAGACAAATATCCACCTCTAGAAGCCGCGCAAAACCTAGGCTCCCTCGATTACATTTTCCATCACTTTTTGGTAGGTTTCGAGAGGAATATTTTCAATCGCTTTCGTAATATTGTTCTTCAGCTGCTCTACAGTTTTTGGTTTGTTGGCATGAACCTTATTTTTCAAAAGTTCTCATGAAAAAAAGTCAGGAGTCGTTAAATCCGGTGACCTTGGTGGCCAATTGACATCACCAAATCGAGAAATGAACGTCCCTAACATATTGTACGCAAAAGATTCATTGTTTCCTTAGCTGTATGACAAGTTGCTCCGTCCTGCTGGAACTACATGTTTTGCAGGTTAAATTGTTGGATTTGAGGAGCCAGAAAGTTTTGCAACATATCACGGTAGCGTTTGCCAGTGCCAGTAAGAGAATCACCTGCAGCGTCTTCAGAGAAGTAAGGTCCAATGACACCTGCATACCAAACACCGTACCAAAGTGTGACTCGATGAGGATGATTGACAATGACACTTCTGCTCATTAACAAATCGGTTCATATCGAAGTGGGCTTCATCGCTTCTCATCAGTTGTCGGTAACAATCGTTATTTTGGGTATTAAGCTGAAATATTGCATGACTGTATTGTCGGCGACTTTCATGGCCACTAGGCTGTAGTTCTTGGGTTAACTGAATTTTGTATGACCGCAAATGCAAGTTTTTTTTTAAATAGTGCATAGTGACGTGCGGCGAATACCCCGTTCTTGAGAACGATGTCTGGTAGACGTCTCAGGGCGCTCCATTACATCTTCACGAACTCTCTCGATATTTTCCGGAGTACGAACAGTTCGAACACGGCCCGCACCAACTGACGAATGGTGTTGACACTGTGCACATTATTTCGACCGAAATCTTGTCGTAACTTCCGAATGTTGCAACAATTGACTCATTATTTAAGTAAAACGTTTTAACAACACGAACGCGTTGTGGGATCGTGTAGCGCTCCATGATGAATTGGGCACATGTGCTTTAAACAACTACTACTGCGCCACCTACTAAAA